AGTTGGGGGGCGGGGGAAGAGGGGGGGGGGCGTGTTGGATGTCCTCTGAAGGCACGGCGTACATATATTGAACAAGCGGTACCTTTTAACGGATTCAAAGGAAGGGGGGAGGGCGGGGGGTGACATGTTGGGATAACCTAGTAACTTCAGTGTTTTGAAATAATATCGATTGTCCAGGCGATCTTTGAATTCTTTGTATCCATTTCATTTCAGCATTTCAGGAGGGCAAATCAAGGCTGTTGAAGCCCAATAAATAAGTATGAGGGAGAAGAAAGGGGCAGGGGGACGGGAGAGACAGACTATTTTCTTGAGTAGAAAGTTACGGTTTTTTGCGTTATTAGGCTTAATAATAAGACAAGATTCAAGCAACACTGGTGCTGTTGAAGTAAGTTATTTAAGGTGACGACAAAACAGTTTATGATTGATTGGTTGGTGGAAAATCAGCATACACCAATTACTGGCTTTGAGCAGCTCAGCAAAGGCCAACTTGTCTGTGGGACCGTCATCCGAAAACATCCAAAAATGGGCTACTTTGTTGAACTGGCTGGTGGTTCAGCTTTGAGCGCACCAGCACGTTTTGTCCATGCAGAAAGAATGCCAGCTTCAGCACGTAATTTTTAAATAATTCCATTTTTTGCCTCATCGCTTTAGTCTCGAGTAGATTTATTTCTCTAAAAAATTCGATTTTTTTTAGATTAATATTTGACTTTTATCGGATTTGTATTATTTTTCACTGTTAGCTAATAATCTATTCCCTGAGTTGCGTTTGGGACTTTACTTAAGCCTAATAAGTAAATTAGCACTCAATATTGAGCAAGATTCGTATTAACTTACGATTCTCATTGAAATGACGCATTTGTCTACCTCGAAATCATGATTTTTCGTTGAATTAAAACCAAATTTTACAATGAGAAAAAATTATTGGTCAAATTGTTCCTTCGAATAGCGTTCTCCTCCAGCAAGCGGGCTTAGAGAATTACTGCACCTCATAATTCATGCAAACTAACAGAGAATAATTTCGATCGAAGAGCGACCTAGGCCTGTTTGAATCAATGTTTCTGGATAAAAAAAATATGTTGCAGAGGAGTTGCAAATTGGCCAAACTGTTGTTGCGCGTGTTTCGTCCATTGATCCCGAGAGGAAACGATTCGCGTTAATTCTTGATGTTGGTTTTTAAAAAATCATGTTCGTCTTATTACGATTTATCAAAATTATGAGACTTTGAGCCTAGCAAGCATCACTGTCGTTGTGCAG